GTGCCCGCTAGGGGGCGCGCGCGAGCAGAAAAAAATTGCTGTCTGGAGACGGCAACCCGCCAATGCTGCAGTGCCGTCCGTCCGTTTTTGTACTACGGGCGGACGGCAAGAGGTTAAAGCATCACTTATGGGGAATTTTTGGTATTGTAGTTTTTTGAGGTTTCATGGGCGCACACAATTTTAAGGCATATAAATGGAGTGATTACCCGACATCACTCCATTTATATCTTGCAAAAAAAAATTTATTAAATTATTATATTTTGTTTTTTTGCACTACATTTCATTTAGTGTATTTTATCCTAAAATACTGGTTTGATAAACATTTGCACAAATACTGTGCAAAATAAAAAATTGCAAGTAGCATTTGTTTTCTTCTACAGGGCCTTTCAGAAAATATATAATTTGTTTGGGAATTTTAAGCTGTTTTCTTGCCAAAAATCCAGATTTTATCATGCGTGCGCAAATATTAGGAAATTGCTCCGGACAGCAAGTGGTTAAGTTGCCTCCGTTAAGCAGTGCAACCTGTTGGATCCCAAACCCATGGAAAGCAGTTCCACTGCATCGGGCCTCTATGGCTCACCATGCATAGTTCTGGGGCGGCCTGCAGTGTCCCTTCTCAGGGACCTGACACTGACGGCTTGGATCGTTGTCCCTGCTTGAGTCCATACTTTCCCTGAAGTCGTTTTTCTTTTTTTTTTTTAGGTCAGTCAAGTGTGGCCCCATCCTCCACCTTATCCAGGGGGGAGTTCTCCGCAACCTTTATTTTTTAGGCCAAATTGCCACTATTATTGCTGACTCAGAACACAGAGGCCTTACGCTTGCTTCTATGCCTTCCCCTCAAGAATCTCTCAGACATATATACAGCTGTCCAATGGTGAGTGGCGCTTGACCCACAACCTTTCTTTAGTCGAACAGGAGCAATATTTTGCCTGATGGCTTTGTTAAAGAAGCTCTTCACAAAACGCGGGACCCTTCAGAGGGAGGGGACGCCCAGAATGACACAAACAATTGAATGAAGAGTAAAAAAAGAGCGTTATTCTCTCAAGAATAAAAAAATACCTTTTATTGGCTTCACAAATGGTGACAAGAAGATATGCACAGCAGTGGCGGAACTACCGCTAATCATGGGGCCTCGGACGGCAGTGAGGACCCGCAAACAGAAAACACACAGGAAACGGATGAAGACAGAAGACCAGCCAGAAGAGGTAAGGGGGGGTAAATAATTCATTAAAATAATAATTATTTGTAGCCTAATGTTGTATAAAGTACTGTTGCAGAATGGCACCCTCCTATAGAGGACTACAAATCTCAGCAGTACTTTATACATAAATGTTATTGTTATATAAAGTATTGCTGGGATGTGTAGTCCTCTATAGCCTGTGGCATTCTGCATTGCTGTAAATATTAGGGATGCACTGATATATTGGCCACCAAAAGATATCGGCGGAAATGGCACTTTTGGCTAAATGCCAAAAGTGCAATTTTTCTGCTGATACAGCAGCGCATCCGTGCTTTATTTCCTCCCCGCTGGGCGCTGCTCTGTGTCCCAGCGGGGAGGAGAGAAAGTGACAGCCGGCCGAGCGCTGCGGGAGGAGAGCGCTGTGTTTCTTTTGGGGGGGGGCAAAAAAAAATCTTGCACCAGGGCCCTTTGTTCCTTAGCTCCGCCACTGATGCACAGCCAACTAGTTTCAGGTGTCAGGTGTTCCCCTTCATCAGGGCTTAAACAGTGGACATCGGGACACTGATGGACTCTAAACTTACAGCCCTGTAGAAAATCCTACTTCTTAGGCAAGAGTGAAAATCCTTGTGTGCAAAACTTTTTACCAGCAGTTCAGCATACACTTGTGCAAATGCTGAAGTGCTGGTAAAGATCTTTTCACAGCAAGAATTTCCACTGCTGCCTAAGAAATAGGATTATAAAAGTGCTATGGAGGTATTTGACATAATATGCTAGCATGCACAGCATATCAGCACATTATAGCCAACGTACCTAGTAAACAATCCCCTCCAGCTCTGCACTGTTCGCTCTGCCTTCCGTTGCTGGTTCTGCCATCTTTTCCTGGTCTTCTTCTGGGTTTGGCATCTTCAGCATCTTGACTGGCCTGCTAGCATGATGTAACTCCTATGCTGTCTGCACTGATCTGCATGTTCGTGGCTCAGTGTACAGAAAAAAAAAATGCTGGCAGGTAGGAGATTTTTGGCATCAGAGGCTTGCAGTTTCTTCTATTAAAAAAAAACTGCCTGTCAGCATTTTTTTCAAAAAAAGCACTTTACTTCCTTTACTTTTACTGCATACCATTGTCGGGATACTGTATTTTTTTTTTTACAATAGTGGTTAATTGTTCAGAATAAATAGACTGTTTGTTTTGAAACTCTCTTTATTTCCGTGATCCTTTTTAAAAATTGTCTACTGTACTCTACTGTAACTAAGGCCGGTTGGACTGAAGCATCAGGAGTTACCTCACTGTTTGCACCAATGGGCACCTTTTTAAAACTTTCCACCACCTCCTGGTTTTTATCACAATAAGAGTTGAGGCTGATGGATCAAGCATGGGCATCACATGCTAGGTAGAGTGCTACATGCTCCGCACTCTCCTTCCTGCTGACTAATGTCCATACATATGCACAGGGCACTTTGGCTACATAGTTGGGACACCGATGCTGCATCCAAGGAGCATCTGATCCAAAAAAGCCTCCAAGGGAATTTTGTCTCTTTAGCTTTGCTCTTGAAACGGTTAATAGCCATGCCACAGCATGCCCCTGAGGAAGTCGAATCTGTGACGCAACCCGCGTAGAGCTGAGCTTGATAGCGGCAGTGCTGTGTGGAGGCACGAGCGTCTAGATCCTGGGAGAATGGGATCCTTGTGGATTGTTGGCTTTCGCTGGATTGTACTTTGAGAACTCTTGTCTTTTACGTTTTATTGTGAG